TGACAACTCTGTAGCAATTTCCCTGCTGATAAATCTGAATAACCACAGAAGGTCATCCTTTTCCTATAGCATGATTTCTGACAGTATGCTGAGCTGATAGTGTATTTGCATCTTCCTAATACTTTTTTCTTTCTTTTTTTTTTTTTGTCTGAAAGAAAAGGTGACAATCCTAAGGAAAGTGCAGATATGTACTTATGCATGTGATACTTACGCTGAATGTAAAATGATCAGGAATGTAGAGCTCAAAGTTTGCAGTCAACCAGCCTTCGTTGGCATATATCATATAGAAGCCTGCTGCTCTGGTGTATCAAAAGATAGGAATGTAATTACTAGATAGGTAAATGTTAGAATATCAAATAAGAATAATAATAAGGTATTACTGCGTGGTGTGACAGACACTGGCATTAAAATATTTTGCCTTGTTTTTTGGTATGCATTTCTACAGAAGATGCTGAAAGCTTAGGAACGGCTCTGAAAAGAGCTAGAAGAATAATTAGAGTTTAAAAAAAACCAACCCAAGATTAAGCAAATTAGTTTATTAGTGACAAAGGTCAGGCCATTAGCAAGTTGCCTATTAATAGAATCTGCACAAGGAAGACTTTTCTGTTAATAGACCAGCCTTTAATCTAGGGAAAAAGAGGTAACAAGAAATAGTGGCTGAAGCTGTACAAATTTAAACTAGTAATAAGAATAAAGATTTTAACCAGGGAGATCAGTAATTATTGGGGCAATACTGTGGGTGATATGGTTTTCAAATTTTTTTTTCAATTTCTGAAATGTTTTTTCTTAGAGAGTGTACACTGCTTTTCATCAAATGTTGTTCTGGTGACAATGTGCTTGCTTTTCTTTGTTACCTTTCTCAGATCTCCAGAGGTCCACAAACAAACCTAAGGACGTGAGTTCTTCATTGCTAAAAGTCACTAAGTGCAAATGAACCCTTTTATGAGAAGTTTACCTAAACAGATCAGATTTTTGGGTGTAGAAATTAGTGAGTAGGATGCTGCGGTGTGTGATACACAGAAATACAACTACATTCTTCTGGTGGCCTCTCTCTCTCCTCAAGTGCATTCGTATTTGCAGGGAAGGGAGGCTTGCTCCTTACTGACTAAGTACTCCCTGCCATCACTGTGGCAAAGCATCTCTTCTTTACTCCTTATTTCAGGTCCCTCAGTCAAGAACTTCTTTATTTGCTTTCAATACTTCCAGGATATTCTACACACACACACACATGCAATTTTTTTTTTTTTACTTTAAATTGAGTTTCATTTGGGGTCAGTTGTTATTTCTGGGTTGGACCAGGAATTTCCACAGCCAGCATGTCACTTCAAGATGAATCCTTACAGTGTTTGGGAGAGGTTAGCTCCAGGATAGCATAACTACTGATATTTTGTCTATAAGTAGACTATCAGACCCTGCAAAGAAAACTCAAATTTTCTTTCCAAGCTACATAATAAAGCAGAAACACAAGCTTGGAAATGAAGTGTAAATTAGATTTGAATGAGAAGCGGTTCGTACTGCTGGGCAGGTGGTAGAATTTTCACTACCTCCACTGAAGTTTGTTTAACGTGGAAAGCACATTTCATTTACAGCTGGAGATTCAACAGGAACACAGCTGCTGGCATCTCAAGTTTTGTTTCATACTAACCCTCCCCTTCGGAGGGTCCAGACACCAAACAGACTAACAACAGGCACTTGGCCAACATGTACAGACTCTAGAATGGACTCCCCGGCCTTATTTATCTCGTTTTAGTTAGAAATTAATGGCCTAATTGTCTTTCCTGTCTTACTGGTAGGTAAACCTGTACGATTTGTAACTCTGTTCATCATGCTTTGCACTGAAAGGCAGGTCCACTTTAATTGCCAGGATAAACTGCTGTCAAGTTCTGTGACTGAGCAAGTGCCTGGGTACTTCTGCTACTAGGGCAGTGCAAGGAATAGATTTTTACAAGTAGATAAGCAAAGAAATCTTTCATATCAATGATCAAATGTATATGTTCCAGTTGTCAGAAAAATAAGAGTTAACTGCTGATGGAGTACGTGGGGCCATTACTGCTTTAAAAATAAAAATACCACAGTTTCTTCACAGATTGGAAGCAAAGAAAAAAATCTGTTCTTCTCAAGCTTTTCTCGGTATGTTTCTTCAAATTTTTTTGTATAAGTGAAGCTGTGCGGTCTCATAGATAACCTTCCAATCAGGTTTGGGTACACTCTCTGGACACCATGTCTCACATGAATGCCTCGTTATAAAAAGATGAAATAACTAAGTGTAATTCCTTTCTTTAATCTAATTTGTCTTTAGTGACATATGTGTTAAATTTATATAATGTGGAGGTTTTATCTGATAAATGTAATTTTTCTGTAAGTGTGCAAGAATGTCTGAAATTCCATATGCAGTTAATAATCCAGACTTTTGGAGATGCATAATTATCTCATTTATTATACTGATTTTTTGTTATGCACAGAAAGGCCTATGGGCCTTGTACAGGTTTAGTCTTGCAAGCAGTTTCAAAATGCCATTCATCTTTCCATGTATTTCTTTACACAGCAATTCTAAGCTGGTGTTTCTTACTCTTGCAGTGCTTACCCCATGACCATTTAATAAAAATGTAGCCAAAAAATATACAAACCCTTAAGTATTTTACTACTCAGGAGAAGTTGTACCAGCTTTTCTCTTTGACTTTGCTAGTTAAGTTTTCACTGGAAGATAATGAAGCTTTGGTAATATGCTATTAAAACCGGATGTGCTTAACTAAAAAGAAGTATTTTCTAAGTTTGTTTTGCTAGCCCGTAGGTGGAAAGCACAGTTGAGATCACACTTCTCAAAATATCAGTTGATTGCTGTACGGTACCTGTTTGTCTGTTTTCTGATTGGGTAGAGCTGTTGCTGGGCTGATACTGTTTTGACCAAAATTAGAAAGTCAATATAAACGAGTCAAACGAGACTGCCTGCTTTTTTTCAGTTCTCTCTTCTGATTCATCTGTTGTTTGTTTCAAATTCTTACAGCCTTTGTGAATTGGGGGTTGTGCCAGCAAAGGTGAAAGCTCTTAGTGGTTAGTCAGTAAGAATGTTCGTAAAAAACTTGTCTTGATGACATTTAGATGCTAGCAAAAATACGATGCCTAGTTAAAAAAAACGTGGAAGTGGGTCCTACAGGGAGCGAGCATGTTAAATACATGGATGCAAGAACCTATTCCTCACTTAGGAGACTGCCTGCTTCTCATATTCGGGGAGAGCATTCATCTTGCTGACCCTAGGAGGGTGTTACTGCCAATGTCTTGTGGCAGGGGCTTAAGACCTGAAACTTACTGATGAAGGCATGTATGAAAGAAGGATTCACTGCTTATACATCTTTTTTCCTTTAGTATTAGTATGTGTACTTTGAGTTGGACTCAAAGTTAGCCTAGTTAACTGCATTATTAATACCATACAGGATTAGAATATCTGTGAATATAACTAATATATTTGAAGAAAAACACCATGTAAATTTTTCAGCAAAACATTTGGTTAGTGCAATTACAGCAGTTTAGCAGCTAAGGGTAGATGGCTGTGCTGTGCTTGAAGAAATGCTGTTAGTTTAACTGTACTGTTAAGACAAAGCTATGGACTTTTGGGAAATTAGTAGGATTTGATGCAAGTGACACAGGGAAGTGTTTTAGTTAATTCATACTTGGGTTAGTTCAGACTTTCAGAAATATTTTTTTTTCTTCCATATAGGCAGGTAAGAAAAAAAAATGTGTGTTGTGGAATGCCGTTCAATTCAGATCCACTAGTCTGCCAAAAAAGTCTGCATCTCAGTATGTCCAAAATGAAGCAACAAGAGATTTAATTCTATATCCCACTGAAGGGCAGGAATAGGAAGTGCTTTACAAGAGCAACTCGGTTAACTCATGAGATCTCAAGATACCATTATAAAAATAGAAAGTAGGTGTCATTTAGCAATGGCAAGAATATAAGGGTAGCAAGAACACGTAAAATTAAAATCAGAAAAAAGCAAAACACAAAATGAGATGCAACTAGAAAGGGACGTTAAAAATCCGACAAACAAGAAAACTTTCTGAGGAACACTAGTAGTGAGAAGACAATAAGGAAATAATTGCTGCAGTGTTCAGAAAAAGATGATAATTATTGACAGATGCCACTGTGGGTAGTGAAGTGTGGAATGCCTTTTTTGTTTCTTTTTCTGAAAGGGTTAGTATGATCAAATTATTAATCTACTGCAGCCTGGGTTCTCTTATCATGAAAAAATAAGTTGGAGAATATTTAAGTGTCTTCAAACCAGGTAGGCCTCGTCAGATTTACCCTTTGGTGCTTACAAAAGGACAGAAAGGGGTAATGTCTCTGGGATTCTTCGAAAGTTATGTAGATGGCAAGGTTGTAGGCCACCTGTCTATAAAAGGAGAAAGAGGAGCAATTGGGGAATAACAGACTGATCCGTTTAGATTACATTTCTGGTAAAAATCTGTACCAAATATTCGGCTATATATAAGCAATTGGACTTAACAAGCAAATGAGTAAGAGCTAACATGGATTTAACAGTAACAAATCAAGGGGAAGTAGTTTAACCTCTCCAGCGGGTAACAGGCCTAGAGAAGAAGGGAAGGTGGTGGTCTTTGGCCATCACAACAGACACTTGCTTACTTGAAAGCTTAGTAAGCTCTGGCCCGTGTGATTTTTCTAGTTATATAAAGTGCTTTTTAAATATGTTTTAAGGTTAATGTGGGCTTGGTAAAAATAGACGACCTATACTATGTATATCCCATTAGTAATTACCCCGGTGCTATACTAGTTCTGCCAGATGTTTTTGATTTCTTCTGTAAATCGGGTTATGAAAAATAGTAGCATAAAAAGTTGTTTCTAGCTGCTGTATTTGGTATTCCTTCAGTTGTTCTGGACCTGCTATTAACTGAATTGTGAAGCAAATTAAGTATTATCTTCTTTTTAAGCAGCTAATAGCTTCTGATGTTTTCCATGTAATATGTTTTTTTTTATTTTATTGCAGGATTTGGTTATCCGTATCATCTTCATTCTTGGTAATTTAACAGCAAAGAATAACCAGGCCCGTGAGCAATTTTTTAAAGAAAAAGGAAGTATTAACACCTTGGTATCGTTATTCCAAACCTACCATGAACTTGATTTGAATGCACAGAAATGGTACCATGAAAGAGGAGGGGAAAGAAAAAAATACCCAAAGCATCCTTCAGAAGCGGAAGATGTTCTTATAAAACTGATAAGAATGCTGGCCAACCTCTCCGTTCATCCCAGCGTAGGAGCAGCTCTGGCAGCTGCCCATCATGTTGTAGAATTACTTGTTACGGTACTAGGTAATAAAATCTATGTGTTTGTTTTCTTTGTTCAGTCTGTAAGGAGAGTTTAGGATATTTCTACTTGACCTTCTTATCTAGGTCTAGGAACTAAATCAGTTCCATTGCTAAAATAGCAAAGTCAGTCTGCTGATACTCATAAACTGTTTTATGTAGAAAGCCTGTTTGAGACAGCGGAAGCATTGCTGCTTTGGTACTGACTTTTCAGTGTCTGGGGAAAGATGTTATAGAAGAGTTTAATTCAGTGATCAGATTTGCAGATAGGATCATTAAGGATAAGCAAACAAATTTTATTTTAAATACATCTCATTGGGAGTTCATATATAAGGGAAGTCTGTTCTTACCAGGTGCTACATAGATCTGTTTAGTGGTGGGTTGGGTTTTTCTTTTAGGGCTTACAGGTTTTGTGATTGTTCTAGATTAAGTATTCTTTTTGTTTCCTGCACCCATAACTTTCAGCCTTCTTGAAAAATTTCCTCTTCTTTCTTCTTTTTCAGATTTCCAACCTTTATCCCTTTCCCTCCAAATGGAGGCTTAGGACTGCAGTTCCTTTACCACTTACTGATTCCTCTGTAAATCTGTCAGTTCTCTCCATAACAGAGTTTAGTAGTGACAAGATACATCTCAAAGAACTCAGTATATTTTAGTATGTGTTGAGAACATTAAATATTATGTGAAGACAATCAACCTGATTATATGCTAGTTTACCAGCCTTACCCACCAGCCATGGGGGATTAGAGGAGGCAGAGTCACAACTTCATCTGTTCTGCCTTAAGCACTGTAGGAGCTTCCTGATTGGAACTGTTTTAATCATTGTGTAAGCACTGCTGAGCCTCAAAGCTTCTCTCTGCCACCCTCCCCTCTTCTTGAGCACCGTATCGTTTAGTTTACTACAAAACGTTCTCTCTTCCTATGAACTTACCCCTCTCTTATTTCCTTCACTCTTGATTTCTGAGGCCATAAACAGGTATACACAACTTTCAGACTTGCTGGTGTAGTTTTACACTGGTTAACACTAACAGAGAGAGAATCTTTCAAATATTGTTAAAGAAGTATTTTGTTTCTTTGTTTGGGTTTTTTTCCATTTTTCATGGTGTCTGACATTTCAGTATAATCGTCTTTGGTATTTCTCTGTGTCTATCACACAGACCTATTTCTGCATGTGGATTCTCCTCAATTCCATCTTAAAACCCCAAATGTGATCTGTAAAATATCTTAACTAACTAGATTTTAAACCATGTTGCCTTAGTCACAATGATTTCTGTAGATGAAGAGTTGAAACAGTGACTAGTATTGACGGTTTTGAATCAGCTGTTCGTGTTACCTTCTGCCACGTTACTGAAAAATGGAGTAGCTGTCTCTAATAGTGGCCATATAAGCTATGATTTAGTTTGCTTCTGAGATATGATGCACTGCTAAGTTAGACTGATGTGAGTGCGTGTATGCATATGCATATGGTTTGGTTTTGTTGGGTTCTTTTTACTATCAGAATACAAGTCAGTTGATGACTGTGAGGAGTTGGTCATCAATGCTGCAACAACAATCAACAATTTGTCCTACTACAAAGTGAAGAGTTCTGCTGTTGAAGACAAGAAGCTACACATTGCTGAAAGTAAGGACTGTTAAGCTAGTACTTTTTGTGTATCTTTTTGAAAGTGGAAGTTATTCATTCTATATTTTGACACTACAGAAAATAAAGTGACTGATAGTGTTTTGTGGTACCATATTGCAGGAATGTAAAGTTCATAGGGCTAAATTCTTCCCATAACGATTTGTCATTTTTTGGGAACATAATTCTATGACTTGTGTGAGAATAGTTAGGTTGTTGACAAGACCCCTTCTTTTCCTCCCCAAAGGAATTTGCCATATTGTTTTCTGTTTAGCAATTTTGCTAGACTTGTTCAAAATCCATATGCCTGAGCCAAAGCAATCGTGTTGCTTTTTACTTCTAATCAGAGTATGGTAAGAAAGTTGTTTTTCTTCTTAGTACTTTCTAGACCTGCAGATTCTGATTAATGTCTGTTTCTGGCTTATATATCCATTGGCAGTATAGGAGTTGTTTGATTCTCTCCCCTCTGACAGTATGGACAATAGTGATATTTTAGTGTTGTGTAGGAACTGCATCTGAGTTCTGGGACTCATTGTGTTAATGTTATACAAAAGGCAGAGAGTCTATGTCTTGCATACCTTTCTCTCTAAATAGACAAGACTTGGGGGAGGGATGGAGCGTGAAGTTCATACAACAGGTAGAAGGAGGAATAAGAAAAAATATTCTGGCTGTCAGTGTAGTGCCCTGACTGGTAGACATCATATTCTGCCTTGGTAAGAGTTCTGCTGTTCTGTCACCAGTCGTTTTATCACCTATAAGCCAGCTGTCTCTTATTGCTAGTCAAAGAACTGTGGAAACAAATGACTTCTCTGCCTGTCCCATTTGCTCTCCCTCTCCTGTTTTTATTGTCAGCGTGTGGAACCAGTCTTATCACCTTTCCTCTGCCTGAGCTGAGGAGAGAGAAAACCTTTTGATGGAAGACCAACAGGCTTCCTCCTCCAGGAGACATTTTGAGAATACTTGCTGTTTGATAAAGTAGTGGATCCCAAAGACAAAAACTAATCATTTCAGATGTCTCTTTAAGACAAGTTCAAGGCATGTTCAGTAGCGCAACATTAAAAGACAGAAGTGATGGGAATGAAGCCAACCTCTTTTCTATGTTTTTTTTTTCCTCTCACTTTTCTGGCGTAGAACAGTTAAGGGTTGGCTGATTTGAGACCTTTATATGATGGACTGATTTCAGTGGTTCACTTCGTACTCGCAGAATATTGACAAATGTAACTTCTGTAACATCGCCCCTTTGCCATGCACCGAAAACCTACATGATGGTAGCTCTTCCTAGGAAATGCTGAAGGTATCATTCTATCTGCTGAAGTGACACCCTAATTATATGTGAAACTGCTAAGCAGGAAAGCAGCAAGCAAGTAAATGCTTCAGACCAGGGGCAATATTAAGTAGCTGTTCAGAAAAAACGTGTTTGCTTGTTATAGCAGCACTGAGACAAAATAGAGCTAATGTCAGAAAATAATTTGAGTTTTAGGAGACATCCCACCATAAGACCATCTGTTCAGGATCTAAATCAATTCTCTTATGTATCACAACATTTTTTTTCTTCTTTGTCTTCCTGGATTTTCACGAGCCCACTCAAAGCTGTGTAGCAAAACTGGCTCCTATTATTACAACTGTGCTTAGGCTATCTTCATAACTCTTCATTTGTTCCTTTGCATTTAGCCCCATATTGGAGCTCTTCGTCTCATCTTCAAAACCCTACACAATTTAGCTCTTGTTCTACCATCAGCTCACCCTCTTTACTGCAACCAGACAGATAGATAACTGTTCCCGTTTATTACATTTATTGCTGTTGCTGCTTGCATTCTGGTATTTATTGATAAAAAGCCAAGCACATGTTTGTGATATACAAGTAATTGTTTTTATTTAATTTCTCTGCAAACCAATAGTGCTTTTGAAGCTGTTAATGAGCAACAGTATGGATGGAGTTGTGGAGGCTGTCAGAGTCTTTGGCAATCTTTCCCAGTATCATGAGATCTGTGACTTCATCATGCAGAAAAAGAGTGAGTTACTTTTGCATTTGTAGGAGTCATGTTTTTAAATGTCCTCAGTTCTAAAAAGGAAAGATTGTTCATAAGCTGTCTCAGTTAAAGGGTAGAAGCAATCTTCTCTGATGTTTTGCAAATCAGGCAAACATTAGAATCCAATAGTAGTCATTATAAACACCATTTTATTTCAGTTTCATTAAAATGGAAATATTGGAGTAGGAAAAATATGCCATGGTGCCTTCACAAAGGTAACTACTACAAAATCTCTATTTTTCCTAAAGATTGTAATTTTGAAATTTCGCTTCACTCTCTCAGTCTTTCAAATCCTACAGGTTAGCAGTGACATGACAGAAAATGAAAATCCAACTAAATTCTCATTTAGGTTCATAATCACAGATTTTTTGATTCCCATGTTCGACAGCTTGTTAGCACTTTGTAACATGCATTTAAGATGTTTGACTGCCTCAACAAAGAGGCCTCCTATTTGCCTCTGGGTGAAGCAGGATACAAGTCTTCTCAAGTCCTTTTGTTCTGGGTGTCTAAAGAGCTTTAGGGAAAAATGGCAACTCCTTGCCATCCATAGAAGGCGTGTCATAAGTTTAATTAAACACCAGTTCGCTGTGTATTTTTTCTGTATCTACTTGTCAGTGCTGAAAGTGAGGTGATACGCCACAATATACAACCCCTTCTTCCAAAGGTGGGCATGTCACTGCTTTTGGAGGAGAAGGTACCTGCAAAGGGAGAACTGACACTTAGTAGCTAGTCACTGGTGAGCTGTCTCAGTCGAAGGACTGAATTTTCCACTTGGGAGAGTCTGTGGGGTCCATGTGCCAAGCTCAGGAAGAGCCGAGAGGCTGCCTCTCCATTCGGCAGGACTGACTGCCTCGCTGGGGTTGCCTTCTGCTGCCCGCGGAGTTCAGCGTCAGCAAGGGCTGCGAGATGCTGCATGTCCAGCGTCTGCTGCTTGCCTGTCTCCCAGAGGAGCCCCAGGCTGCAGCAGTTCCAGCTGGACTTGGTGCAGTCTAGGGCAGCCCTGCCACTCACAGAGGTGACAACTTCCCTCTCTGAGTGCCAGATGCCAAGTCCTAGCAGTTTCTGTTGACTGTGCGATGGAAAGGAGGGTGATACTTTTAGGAATTAAGCTGTAATTCAGTTTGGTCAACTTAACCTCTTCTGATGGGATTTTCATGTTACTTTGGTGTGTTTTTCTAAGCAGAATTTTGTATGTGTTGTTTTGAAAACTGATGTTTGTCATGATGATGGCTGTTACTCTGGGTCGTGCACTACAGATGTCCCAGTAATATGCTGCAAGGTTAAATTTTTGGGTAGGGTATCCTGCATTTGACTGCTTTCTAAGTATACGTGTTTAATAAGTATGTTGTAATACCAACGTATGGGAAGTCCATCCTTCCAGTAATACTGTTTCCTTCTTTACAATCCAGTATACAGGTTCATGATTGCTTTGCTTGATGCCAAGAACCAAGATGTCTGTTTTTCTGCCTGTGGAGTTCTGCTCAATCTCACAGTAGATAAGGACAAACGAGTTTTTCTGATGGAAGAAGGAGGAATTGGAAAGTAAGTTCCTGACTTTTTCATGTGTTTTTTGCAAAAGCATTAGAGTGGTTTAGCCTACTGCAAAGCCCAAAACCGTAGAATAAATCGCCCAAAGATCCTCCTGATACATACAGCAGAGGACTATGCAACAAAGCAACTCAGGTATGGCTTTGCAGTAGCTGCTTATGCTTGACTTGACTGGATCCTTTGTGGGCTACAGTTAACAGGCATCATTAATGTGTATCTGTTGTAAGCGTGAAGATTACTTCAGGAACTATGATATCCCACATGGTCTCTTGCAATTTTTGTAACTATTTAGCACTGAAGGGAAATCTGTCTGATGTAGCCATGCTTGGCAGAGAATAGCTCCTGAGTCTCCTCTCTCCGAGAGTTCAAACTTAAGGCTCTTGCATTGTAAGTGGTATTAGATCTTGAAAAACCACTGTGGACGCAACACTTGTGGCTTTGATGTTCAGATAATAGCAGATCCAGCTTTACCGTAGCAACATGAGAGATCGTGTTCCTATCCTTGTAAAGCAGTTGATAGAACCCGCATTTATGAAATGATATGCCTAACTTTTAAATGCCTTCCTATTCATACATCATATAATTACTTTTTTATACATTGTAAACGATGCACAACCTGCTCATCCTTCCTTCCCATGTTCTAGTTAACTTACAAAATATAAAGCTGAAAAAGAAGAATAGAAGCAAGTTACAGGCAAATTCAGTAATAAATGTCAGACATTTCTATTACATAGAATATTCTGTAGAATATAGAATCACATAGAGTATAGAATTTTCTATGATCTGTCTAAAAATTTGTGAAGGCAGGAAAACCAGTAACAGTATGGAATAAATCTAGAGGCTTTGGAAGTGGTTGTTAAGGAGGTCATCCTGACTGTGCCAAAGCAGCTCTGTGGGTTTAGCCCAAACCAGGACAGGAAATGAGGTTGTTGTACCAATATGTCGTGGCCCTAATAAAACATGGAATTAGTCTCATCAGAGAGTTAAACTTAAAAAAATTAGGGCAAGTTCTTTTGGCTTTTCATTAGATGCCTCCCGGTTTTCCACAATGACTGCCTTCAGAGAGGAGAGAAAAATCTCTCTTTGGTTGCTTTTCAATTACTGCTATTTTCAGCCATACCTGAATGTCATAGTTATCCCGTGTTCCCTTTACTAATCACCAGATT